GCATATTACCTGCACGTGAGGTTGAGGGGAGAGAAGTTCTCCAGTCACATGCGGACTTCTTAGAGTTGAAGTGCCTGAGGGCAGGCTCATTTGGCCTCCGATTGTCATCAGAGGCTGATGAGTCCGAACTGATTGTTTGCACCACGCCCAAATTACTATCAGTCGATCCTATTGATAAAAAAAATGAAACAGGTGTTAGACCTAATGAGCTGAACACTGACAAAGGTGGGAAAGGAAGCAATGGGAGAAAGGAAAAGCAATGGGATAAGAGCATTACCACAAGAGAAATTAGAATATACCTGAGGGCTTCTTCTCAGGGCGAGATAGAGATTGGCTGGTGGAGCATCGAGGCCTCATAGAGGCTGCAGCCCCCTGAACAACTCTGTGCTCAGGACAACCACGAACTGACTGAAGGTCCGGCTGAGACAGTAAGTGCTCCACAGATCGCAGAAGCTCTGGGGGAGAAATTTTGTATAAGTACATGTGGCACTATGACAATATGGAGCATATGTAACATGTGTGCAGTACAGAATCAATCGAGAGAGACGCTTACCTTGAACGCCATTGCCCCGAATAATGAGAAGTGCAGCACTTGTGTCGTCTCTGCTGCTAGGGCCTGCAACAGGGCCTGCAGGGCCTGCAGCTGACGACGCCTGAGCCACAACCGGGGCCAAAACACTGCTCACGGACGGCGGGGGCAAGGCAGCCAACAATGTCGACGAGGCGACAGGAGTGCCGACGCTGGCCAAGGATCGCTCATTATCAGTGAGAGTGCCAGTGCCGTCTGCCACCAGCTCCCCGGCTCGAACAGCCCCCGGTGTCTCTGGCTCAGCCCGGTCGGCCCGCTCGGCCCATTGTAGGCGCAATCGCCTCACCTCCTCAGCTAGCTGCTGTTTGGATTTATCTGGATCCATCTGCAGATACGAAAAGCCGGTGAATGGAAATGGATTGAAGGCTCCTGTGCCGTTCTAAACCTACGATCGTTTGAGAAATAGGATCGCCGAACGTTTAAGTTCAATTCAAAATAGACCTTGTGTATCACGACACTCAATTCGACAGTTTACATGATCAAGTTTAACGCGTGCAGGTTAGAGCTAGAATCCCAGATAAATTTTAAATCATCGAAACTTCAAAACCCATCGACAGCGCCCATAGCCAAAAGGGGCAAAATTTGGCACGACAACAAGTAAATACGAAGTCAAGACCTCGGCGACAAGACAGAGAAACGACGAAACACACAGTCAAATGAAAACACGGAGAGACTTACCTCAAGAACGCGTCACGCTGAAAAAGAAAGGAACGAGCACGTACGAGCTTACTGAGCTCACGAATCTTTGAATCTCTGAGAGCAGACAGGTCTCTTTTGTATGGCCCGTGAACGAATGGAGATGGAGGGGACGCACTGCCTTCTACAAAAATCATCGCCTGTACTTAGTACGTTTGGTTTTGACTATTATTTCTCTTCTGTTTATACAAAATATTTTTCAACTAATTGAGCCAAATGCTTTGCGATGCGTTGAGTTTTGCTTGCGCATATCCAGTTATGACTCCTGTTTAAGAGGGAAAAAATTTTGGTCTTCTACGACCCAGGCCGCAAAGGTTTGTGTTATCCCCCTTCCATTTCCCTTCCCTGCATCCGCTCCGATGTTACTTCAGAGCTCTCTTGTGTGAGTGACTTCCCTTGCACACAAGTATCGTCATTTGGACCCATGGCAACATGGATGTCCAAAACGTGCAAGTTATCCCGGGCAGGACGGAGAACAGCACGATTTTCCATGTGGGTGATGGTTATCTGTACCATGTCCGTGAAGTTCGCTCTCGTCGGATAAGACTCAAGTGCCGGCACATCAAGAAATCATGTCCGGGGACTGCTAGTATGTTCATTGTAGATGGACAATTGAAGCTGAAACACCTGCAACCACATTCTTGTCCTCGTGATCGATTGGCACCTGAGGACATTCTGACCAGGCAAGCACTCGTGAATGAGGCCAAGACTACTCTATCTGGAGCAAGTGTGCGAAAACTGCTGCGTGATTTTAAATTACGGTAGGCAAAGAGCCCACAGCATTACAGATCTGTTAGCAAAAGTTGCCTATTGACTTTCAGTTAAGCTGATTAATTTTGTTTGTTTTGTTTAGGCTGCATCCTCATCTGGCCAGCCGTTTCACAGTAGCTAGAATGCATTCAGCCTTGCATGATGCACGCAGTTCTAATTTTCCTAAAATACCCAAGACGCTGATGTATTTGGGAGTACTTCTCGGTCAGCCTGATATGCGTCCTATCTGCAAAACAACTGACGGCACAGACTACATATTTCAAGGAGTGATTGGGACCCAGGCTGACAAGACTGTGTCAGTTGTATTCGCATCAGGCAGAATGCTTCAGCTTCTTGATTCGCAGCCCAACTTGCACATGGACGGCACATTCAAGAAACGCCCAAGGAAGCCAAAGTGTCGCCAAATATTCAATATTGTAACTAACCATGGCAGCACTGTAAGTAACAGTTTTTTCAATTACTTTTCAATCAACTCTTTTCAAAATGCTATGTTATTGATTCCTTTCTGTTCTATTCAAGGTTATATCTCTGGTCCGTGTTCTAATGTGTAGTCGGTCTGAAAAGGCGTATACAACCCTTTTTGAATTTATCAAGAGTCTTGCTCCTAGAATGAGGCCGGTACGCATCCATTGTGACTTTGAGAGAGCAACCATAAAAGCCTTGCGTCGTGTTTTCCCTGATAGTGATATAGTTGGTTGTCTGTGGCACTTTGGTGTTGTAAGTATTCATAGTTTTGAGTCTGCTTTGGTTTGAATGCTGCACATTTTCACTTTATTTTCTTTACTCCAGTGCATAGGAAGAAAAGCTACCAAGCTGCAGCTTGCTTCATTAGCTTCCAACAATGACCTAATTCACACGTTCATAAGGTGTCTTAGTGGAATGCCTCTCCTTCCTCCTGTGCTAATTGCTAGTACTACAGAGGAGCTCTGGGAGGAGGCCACAGCATCAGGCTGGGCTGATCGACTCCAATCTCTGTTTGCATACTTCAGGAGGCAGTGGGTGCCACGGGCTGATCATGTGTCAGTTTTCGACTAGCCTGAACGTACAAACAATTGTTCAGAAAGTGACAACAGGTCATTAGCCAACGTCATTCCTCAAAACCACCCAAATGTCTGGATTCTCATAGGTCAGTTAATTTTAAATACTACCACAACTTCAGCTCAGTAAAATCAAAAAGTAATGTTTTTCATTTTCTGTTTTTCTTAAGGTGGTTTTGTTGAAATGGAACACCTTGCAATTAGTGATGATGATGCTGTACATCGGGGACAGGCAGTTCAGGGTCCTCCACGGTGGAAAACTGTCGCTAACAACAAGAGAGTGCAGAGACTCACTAGATTGCTCGTCAAGGATGAGATTCCTCCAATAGGGTTTCTCCATGAGGTTTCCTGGGTCAACCAAGGAGCAATAAATCACGGTATGAAAACTGACCGAGACTCTGATTCTGACTCCGACTCTGACTCTGACTCTGACAGTGACTAGACTTGCAATTTTATTTTATAATTTTGACTTAGATAATTTTTATTTATGACTAAGTTTTATGATTAAGTTTAGTCCTCACAGTGACAACCATACTGTATTTACATGACCTTGGCTGTAACAGGAAAGTTACTTGTAACATTTTACACCAGGGCTTTTAGTTGATAACATAGGTTTGTTAAAATGATTGCATCAAGGCAGTATGGTTCCCTGTTTAGTGCCTTCAAAATGCTATGGCTTGAACTTCAGCTCCTCTTCCACTTCAACTGTGTATTTTACTGATTGTTTTCATACATCACTTGCTTTGATGCAATGTACCTTTGCTCTGTAACTGTTACTGTTAAACGTTCTATTCATTAGTTATGGAAGCCCTTTCTATTTCTAAGGTTTTGAAAAATTAAACTGACTAACCCTTTCAATTGATTCTTTTCTTTGGTTGGTTCCTCTACCTCTCATAACAATTGACAATGCTCTTGCTTGTTTCAAGAAGCCCATTTGCCGATCATACTGGTATGCTCCACCCCAACACAACCGTGCTGTCTTATTCAATAAGCACATGAAGTATGACTATGGAGAACAGCAAGTTTCTGATACATCTTTTTAATGGCAGCCGTACATTATATAGTGGGATAATTTCACAAAGACTGTAAGAGGAAGAGTTGGTGCTAAAAAAAGGCTCAAATTATTTTCTCATTTGGTTTCTCAAAAAATTAAGCTTTGTATGGCTATTGAGTGTGTGTGAAATGCAATAAGAAAGATAGCTTAAGGGCCAAATTGACTATGTTCTAGTGTTTTGTCTTCAATTCATGTGTGAAAGCAACCAAAATAGTGAGGGATTGGTGTCTGCCTCTCAAGTGCAGAGATTTACATGCTAGAAATATTAGTGGCTATCTGCTTGTAGCAATAGACAATTGGTGTGCACCACCAATTACTCACCTCTATTTTTTTCTTATGTTGGTGACGGCTAAACAACCAATGAAGATTATTCTCAAGTGCGATGTGATCCTATCTAAACCAAGTTGACATGCATGCAGTTTTACTTGACGTACTTTTTCGATTCTTTTGAAAATCGGAATGCCTGTCACTTGTTGTGAAGAACGAAGGACATTTCAAAAATGAGGTGTATTTACTTTTGTCAAATAAGCATTTTATTGACCTTTAAAAAGCTTCAATATGTTGTCCAGGAGACTGACGTGGACTAGCACCTGATGATTAAGGGCCATAGGAGGCACTGCCATAGGTTTCTGCAGAAATCAAACAGAACAAGAGGTTTTTAAGCATACAATCAAAGTAAGAAAGCACCACAGTGCATAACAAATAAGCAGCGCTTTCAACTCACTACTTACCACGCACAGCCAGTAAGTCATCAAAACCAAGGACAAGGTGGAAACCAGACCTGAAAATATTTTTAATTGACTCTTCTCAATGAATGAAATGAAAGGACAGCAGAACTGCTGTATGTATAGCCTAGGCATATAGCTCAATGTAAGAATGGTCAAACAAGCAAATCTATAAAAAGTGACTGAAGTGAAGTGTAATTACCATTTCGAGGAGGAAACGAGTAATGTAGCATGTTAGCGTAGGACGATGATAATAATATAAAAATATTATAATATTGTGTTTAAACATCTATCACAGGCAAGACGGTGCTTTTGCTTCTGCTGCTGTTGTTTTCTTCTTTAAAAATTCGTATTCCGACGAAAGAGCGCGCGAACCACCCGAACGCACCATCGGGCACGGTATGAAAAATTTCTCGGGCCTCTCTGATAGCTAAAATAATATTTAATATTATTTTAACTGTTTTCACATTTAAATACATTTAAAACTATTAAAAACATTTTTTTAAGTAAAATACTATTAAATATTATTTTTTTTGAAAAAACTCGAAAAAACTATTAAAAAATAGGGGGGGACCCTCTAGACGGGGGACCCTCCAGATGTTTCCCGTTAATTTTACGGTTTAATTTCATTCCGAGAATAATTTCATACCATACAAAATAGTATAATTTCGACCTTTTAAAATTTAATTTAATTTCGTTTTCCATCCCTGCGACGCACTGCAGTGACTGACTCAAATGTGACCAGGGTTGTTAACGTTAATTTAACGGGTAACGACGTTACGTTTTCGTTAACGTTATTTTAACGTTAACGTAAGACGTTAATTTTTTGGCAGCTAGGGAAACGTAACGCGTTTGCGTTACCCGGGTCCCGTAACGTCGTAACGACGTTGACGTTAAAACATCTTTCGCGTGCACCTAAATTTGGGCAGCTGGTCTGCGAATTTTGTAGTTTTCGTGAGATGCAGTACAAGCGCGACGAGCAAACGAAGAAAGCCGAGCGCCTAGTGGTACTAAAACTAAAACTTTGATAATTTTTTATAATATTTCTCATCTTGAAACAGCCCTCTGCTCTTAATTTTCGATACTTTACATTCTTTTTATTATTTTGCATCAACGTCAACGACGTTACGACGTTTAACGAAACGTAACGCGTTAATTTTTTCACATCTGGCGAAACGTAACGCGTTTACGTTAACTCAAATCTCAAATTAACGAAACGTAACGCGTTAAATTTCATTTTTAACGTTAACAACCCTGAATGTGACCAAAGGAAGCTGTCACCTGCTGTTCCAGCCCTTACCCTCTTACCCTTCCGCCTAGCCTGCCTTCACCACTCCACCAGGCAACACGCCGGTGGCGGTAAGGCGAGCAAGAGGACTGCTGACCTAAGGCTGACTCATAAGTCTGGGCTAGGGCTCTCACTTTTACCCGCACCCGGGTAACCCGAGTACTCGCCCGTCCGAGTAGGAACCGGGTAAACGAGTCTTACCGGGTAACACGGGTTAACCCGGGTACCCGAATAGAACCGGCGGACCGGCGGGACCGCGCCT